CAGCAAAGATTAAATGGTCCGTAACTCTCTTCAGAGAATCGTTCCGCAAAAAAGGAGGGCAGATTTGAATTCAGCGGCTCAAGACACGTCCACATATGTACATCTCATTGCAAATGGCCGGATCGACCTGTTGGGGTTCCCTTGTCAGCTTAGCTGCCATTCGATGCAGTTGTTCGTGGTAGAAGCAGCTACGATGGACAACTCCCAATTCCACCAGCGACGCAACATATTCTTCTTACTCCGGCACGAAGCACTGGGTCTCCCTTCTCTCCCGCTTTGGGCCAATGTCCTTTGCGCAAGAAGTTGACGTCAGAGACCCTTTCATGTCACCGCATAGTCCAACCAGTCGGATCCATAATGGGAAAAGAGATACTTGTGCCATTGCCTTCCAGCCAGTGTACAGCATCATGATGTGTGAGGTGGTGTGTAGGTACGACTCCCCTACCTAAATAAGGGTCTCGGTACGACCCCTCCCCTCCCTTCCCCAGCACCTACCCACCAATTCACCACCACATTTTCCAGTTTTCACCCGAAAATTTTCCGTCGAGCCAGGGGAGCGAGGATATATAGTGCACATGAAGACAGGAAGAAATCACGCAAAAAGTCAAAAAACAACCGGAAAACCAACGCGACAAATTTCTCTCAAAGGCACATACGACCCCCCCCTCTCTCCCAACGACCAAATACGACCCCCCCCTCCCCAGAGAAAAAGTACGACCCCCTATGTGTTTCACACAACGATGCTGTACCCTGCTCCCAGCACTCACATCTAACGTGGTAAGCCAGTTAGCCGATATCGGCAGTGAACCGAGGCTGAAGACTTCGACATGTTGGAAATGAGACAGCTGCAGATTAGGCCTTTATCCACGTGAAGTGAGGGGCCAGAGTGTGGGGGGAGGTAGAATACCGCCCACTGCAGCCATCCAAAGGGACGACTGTGGCAGAACTTCAAGCAGCGAGCTTAGATCAATAATCTACAGTATCGGGCCAGCTAGTCACTGGACTACATTCCCAGATCGCAATCTCGAAAAAGTCCCAGAGGGCCCAGAGTTCAGCATGTGATTTTTTTTTCCTAGCTCATTGTTCTCTACAGCTAGAGTTTCACTACACAATCCTTATTGATGAGGCCATTAGAGCTCACTGACCCTGCGCTTACGAGTCCTCACCTTACGAGGGCAGATACACCCCCTTTTTCATTTCCCAGGTGATATGCTCCGGAATGAACAGCACCAATTGTTAAGAATACGGACGACAAAGAATGGTTTCGAAAG